ATATGTGTGTGTATATATATATATATATATATTTCTTTCTAGGGTTATCTCGAAGATTTGATGCATGCCATCAAATGTACGTTTTGGCCAGATCGGCTAGGCGGTCCAATTATTGATACAATAAGGACAACGATGTACTGTTATTAAATAATAATTAAGGATATATCGCACACTAGGACAATGCCAATATTAACAATTTGTTGGAAATCAAGATCGTGACCTCCTACGGAATGATAAGAAGTCTATGGATGTTATAAATTGAAGGAATTCTTGGGGGTCTACATGTATTGAAATCGAAATAATTATCTGTATCTAAGGTTGTTTTATACAAATGATGTGTTGTCCTATCGAATTTAAATTAATTATAATATAAAAATAGTGAGACGTTCCATCTTATATAATCTACGAGTATATACGTGCCAAATCTCGTTTTACTATAATCATGAATAGAAAACTTAGCAGATGATTGTCATGATGGAGACATACGTACGACTACTGCTGTGTCTCATTTACTAATACCGTTAATGTGATATCCCGAGTTATATGATGAAGTTGGGAAGCGATCGCTGGTATATGAAATGTGGACGAGGAGCAATTTTTCAGACACCAATACACGGGTTGGATACATGGATGAATCGAATGTATATCAGAATGAAAGAGATCCAAAAACTATATAGATATAGAGTTACACAGTCAACGATGACTTAAAAAGAATATATTGAAATACGTATACCAGTAATATGTATCTATCTTTTCAATTGTCTATCTCGAGAGATAATTTAACATGTTTGACTTGAAATAGTTTTATAATGGATAATCTCCTAAAAAGTATTTTTTCGAGATTTGTACGAGTGAAGACAAAATACGGGTTTGTATTTACCTCAATATCAAAAAACGTTCATGGGACGTTACAGCTATATATCAAGTAAATCATATGGTGTGTGCGCATGCAAAATAAGTTTGGGGATAAAAACATGTTTGTATCAAAGAAAGAGAAACGTAACCACTCAACGAGCGGACCATATATATTACAGCATAGTAGTTGCGAAGCGTATGTCTGAAAACGACTCTTTCAAATCGCATAAAGCACCGATCAGGTACAGATTTTTATTATTAGGAGATTCATTAGACCTTCAAACCGCTGGATAATTTGGAAGATGACTTTGTCATCTTTTATCCATTGGATCACTAACTGCTGGATAATCTCTCGAGATTAATCTCTGTGACAATTAATTAGGTTATATTTATTAAAATTTTGTATCGTTTACCAAATTTCTCATGGTATATATATATATATATTTAAAAAAAAAATGGTTGGGGGATGGAGAGAGATTTTTGGAGCAACCATGAGTCAGTGTTAGAAGGTAATGCCACGTTCCATCTTTGAGACGCATAATCTTGTTTCCTACTTTTGGGAGACATATTTGATACGTCATCCTCAAAGGGTTTTTTTTTTTCTCTTCTTCTTCTTCCATTTAAATTTGAATTATTTATTTTTGTCCGTCAATATTTTTCGTCTGTCCGGTCCAAGCGAATTAAATTGATTCACGCGGAATTGGACTAGTGAAATGTAAGAAATTAAATGCGTATTGCTATATGCGCAACGTTTTTTGTATATATATATATATATATTATCTATCGTATTAATGCAAGGATGGTCCAACACACTTTTCTGTCCGAAGCTAGTAGATAATCTTCTCTCTCTCTCTCTTTTTTTTTTAGAAAAAAAGTTTCAAGAATATATGTCTACCATCTACCTCTTGTATTAACTGTTGATGAATTCGAATACAACGCTTTCCCTTAAACAAGTTATAAATTCTAAAAAACATTTAAAAAAATTGCTAGAATCAGCTCTCTACTGATTTTCATTTTTCATAGTTTAGAAATATATATATATATATATATATATATATATATATATATAT